AGCGAGAGAGAGAGAGAGAGAGAGAGAGAGAGAGAGCGAGAGAGAGAGAGTATGAGGGGGCGCACAATGATGATCTGAATGAGGTGGCTGCTGTGGCCTGCAGGGCGCTTGCTCTGAATATTTCATGTGCTCAGGGCTTAATCTTCACGGTCAGCAGCAGACGCCCTTTGTGAGGATAGGCCACATGCAACAAATCCGCTAGTTACGAGTTACCAATCTATACTTATAAGCTCTGCTAGTAACGGTGGCCACTATATCTCTGTCAAGCTAAGCTTAGACCAACGAGGGGATCACAGTCGTGCACGACACAGTGGGTCGGCGCGTATATAAATGTTTAATATAGATGTTTAGTGTTGAAGTCTCGTTTGACAATGAGTAAGTTCTCCCAGGAACACAGCCCCTAGTTGTAATATCTAATAGTTACACTCTTGCTATAGTTGTAACCTCTACTAGTTACACTCCTGCCAGGGGGCGGATTCAAACCGTATTTGCCGTATTGGGAAATACGGTCTAGATTTCAAAGTGCCCTTCGAAATTTTGCGCTAAAAAATACAGAAAACAATTTGATAGAATTTGGCAATATTCTTTATTTGTTTTCTTTATCTTCTGATTCATTGACAGGACTTGAAGGAAATCAAAATTTTACATGGTAACAAAACTAGCTTTGATATCTGAAAAAGAAGGGAAGTGCTTGAATCATTCTACATTAATTGCTGGTATGCAAAGCGCAGGCAAAATAAAGCAGAAATAAAATTCCATATGGTTTTTAGCTATTGCTGCTTGACTAAATGTGTGCTCAAATGGTGCTCATTTTTGTGCCCAGGGACCCTTGAAATTTTGAAATTTCTTGGGGGAGGCCCCCCAGACCCCCCGCCATGTGCTTCCGCGCTTACCGGCACCCACTTTGGGGTGGTGTGCCCTTTTTGGGGGATGTGCCCTTAAAATCTGGAAAAATACTGTCTAGCTTCAGCCCTGGATCCGCCCCTGCTGCTAGTTGTAAACTCTACTAGTTACACTCCTGCTATAGTTGTAACTGCTACTACTTACACTCTTGCTAGTTGTAACATCTAGTCGTTACACTCCCCTTAGTAATCGCCACTAGTAATAGTTGTATCTAGTCTGCTACAAGCTCTGTTGGATAATCAATTTGTTAGAGGTTCCCGATTGCTGATTCAGTAAAGATTTGCTTTCACGTTAATTAGTGAAAATTGTGTGTTCAACTGGTAATGTTTGCACAATAAGATGAAAGCGGGACATGAAGGTTTTCCGTCGGATGCGGACTGCGTGTTAAATGAAGCATTTTTGGAGGGATTCGGCATCGTGTGCACATAGTAAACAGTTTAGCAGCTTCACTGGAACTGTACTAGCAACCACTCTGGGCCAGCCGAGTGATCGCGTGGCTTAAGGCATCGTTTACATTTGTACTTCACTGTTGATAGAACGGTGGGCTGGAGTCATCTTACTACTCCTACCGGTGGAGGCCTTTTTCCATAATCCCTACAAGAGAAAATAGCCTCGAATGCTATTCCTGTCGCATCGATTGCTATACACTTCTATACATAACGTTGGGTAACTGAAACTCCATTCCCCACCTCCATTATGGTCGGTTTTAGAGTTAAGTTTGGTGTTGTTTCGATGCTGATGCATCTTGTCTCGTTGATCTTTCAGGCCGACGATGCCTGTCACTCTGAACGCAGGATTCCGCATGCCATCGTGGTGAGTCATCCCCCTGCACACGCGCACGCACGCACACAGATACACATGCACGCGCACACACAAATACACACATATACACGCACGCGCGCGCACACACCAACACCGCCTCGCATCAACAACACTCACTCACAGCTGCACTACAGAGACCGGGCGATGGAACGAGCTGGCGATGCATTGTTTACCGGTGGCGCCGCCTTACTAGCGTGTCGAGTTCTCGGCGACGGTCAAACGCGGATTCGTCGGCGAGCGTCGAAATGCGAGCGCGCATGAAAGGAATCGTTAAACGAAGAAGCGGGAAGTGCGGCGAATCTCTCGTTCGCTCACGATTACCGTGATAAGGCGGCCGACATCGGCGGTGGCGTGCGAGTGACGTTAAGTGACCGTACGCGGCGACGGCGTTGAAATACGGTTTTAGTGATTCTTCGCTGTTTGCAGGTTTGACATTTACACGTTGCAACAAACGTCTATGCAGGACGAGGAAGGGATAAAGAAGGCAGCTGAAAACTGTGAGTAGGGGATCCACTATTGTGCACATCTCAGCCCCGTACACCTGAAGCGGATTTCGTACAGTCGTGCGCTGTCACGCACAAATCGTTACCGATGTTACTGTTAACTAGTGTTAAGTCTGTAGCAGCACTAGCGCTGCTATTATTCAGGGTTCGTAGCGGGTCTTCCAAAGTCTTATAAGTACTTATTTTGCCAAAAATAAAATAAGGGCCCTTATTAGTACTTATTTTGCCAAAAATAAAATAAGGGCCCTTATTAGTACTTATTTTTGGTGAAATCTTAGAAAAGTACTTAATAGTCCTTATTTTTTGCCAAAGGACAATTTTTCAACATTGTTTTATAAACTGTTCTCGACTTAGAGTAAGAATTGTTGTATATGTAATACGGAATAATTAAATCTGCTGTGCAATTGTGTATATAAATATTATTAGTGTACTTTAATAGTCGGTGATCTATCAGAAATCGCGTAAAAAAGTCTTATTTTGGCCTCCAGAAAGGGTCTTATTTTGGCCTCCAGAAAGGGTCTTATAAGTCCTTATTTCAACATGTGTCTTACTACTATGAACCCTGAATGTTACTAATGTATCTATGCTATATTATTACTCTTCTATATAATCTCTTCTGACTTTAGTAGCAACATATACTCCGTGTAGCAAAGCGATGTCGTGCGGTAATGTAACACTGATGTGATGTGCAGGAAATTTGCCGAAACGAGCTTTTAGAATTAGTTGATTTATTTGTCTGATCCCTGCACATGGTGAGCCGATACGTACAAATCGTTCCCTTCCCGTGAAATCATGTTAAAAGTACATTTACTATCATTTATTTTTTTAACTATTGGTTAACAGTAGATGCCTGGAGATGGGTTTATCCACCACTAAGGGCATATTATCTTTTGTGATTCTATCACGTCTTTCGTCTGTCTCTGCCCGCAGTGCATACACTAATAGATGAGGAGGAGAAGAAAGGCATACCCTCTAATCGCATCATGGTTGGCGGCTTCTCACAAGGTGGCGCTGTCTCTATCTACGCTGCGTTGACGTACAAGAAGCCGCTAGGTGGCCTACTGATGCTGAGTTCATGGCTTCCACTGAGCAATCAGTTCCCTGAGGTGTGTTACCTCACTCTCATACTATTCGTTAAGCATCGGTCGCACCGACGAAAAATGTTAGAAATAATTAACTGTCTATCATTCTATTTGAATAGAAAGACTGTCTCTCTCTGTCTCTCTCTCTCTCTCTCTCTCTTTCGCTCTCCCGCTATCTCTTTACAAGAATTTTCCATTATTAGTAAAGCTGCTATTTCAATCAGATTGGTTTCGTGATTCTCTATCATTATAAACTGCCTTCTAATACTGACCGCTTTGATTCCTCAAGCGTGATTCGCCCGTGCGTTTGTTTGCAGATCGTCAAGGGCAACACCGAGACTGCGATATTCCAGGCGCACGGGGATGTTGACCCCGTGGTTCCGTTCGCCTGGGGCGAGCTCACGGGGAAAAAGCTAAAGACATTCGTCAAGAATTACGAGTTCAAATCCTATGCAGGCTTGATGCACAGCTCCTGTCCACAGGTGAGGGGGAACTAGTCCTAGGAGGAGACATGCGATAGAGTGCGTCGAGAAGAAAGAGAGGGAGCGTGTGTTTGAGCAAGAGAGTTCAGATAACTGAACGGTTTAGAAGTTGAAGAAGTAAGATCGCGGCACAGGTTTTGTAGCGTCTGTTTTGAGATTGAATGTATTGCGTTTCTCTACGAACTTTACTCTACGGTCTAACGGAAGCTTTTGTTTTATTAGGAGATGGACGATGTTAAACAATTTATCAATAAGCATCTTCCACCCGTGTAGGAAAACGTGACGAATGAGGTTAGTTGTAGTCATGGCTCTACGATACAGCCATCGTGGTGGTCAGCGTACAACTACTCTTGTCATGATTTTTTTTTGCAAAAATTCTTTCAGCGACAAATAAATTATATACATATTAATAAATAAATATATTCTCAAAGTAATTATGAAGTAATGTGTTTAGCTTCATCTTGTCGTATTTACGTAACGTGATTATCGAAGATTTAAAGTTTTGCGAAACGTTAATGCGGAAGGTAATTCAGTAGTGTTGTTAGTTATTTTAATGCGGAATGAGCAAAGTACGAAAATGAACATTAGCCATTTAGTTTAGATATTGATTCGTTTTGCGTTGGGATTAAATTTCTGCTGCCGCTTGCTCATCAGGTGTCGTTTGTTCCCATCTAAGGCAGATGCAAGGCAGCTGGTAATGGGAGAATGAGAGGCGGATGATACCAGTGCTCGTCTGAATGCTCGTGCAAGCGAAGAAACGGCACAGCCATTGATCGAGAAAACCTGCTAATGCCAGTGTACTGGGCCATACCCACAATTTGCTCTTCGATATACCAACAGAAATGGCAGGGGTGGTGTCGCATGCAGAGGGGCTGTTACAGATCGGTGGGGAGCTACCACCTGAATGTGGGTGTTTACTTCACGTACGCTGCAAGCTACGACGTGTGCCGGAGTAACTGTATTAGAATCGGGTTTTCAAATGACAGCGGCATTAAGAGTAAGTGAAGTTGTCATACATGCTAATGCAACGCTTTGAAATCTGGAAGTGGTCTATCCCATTTGGCGTGGCGCATCAGTAAAATCGACTGGCACTAGTTTGCAAGACTGCGTTATTGCCACATCAAGCAGCATAGCCAAACACTGTGGTAACGATTTTTTCCCATTTAAAAAAAATAATTACTGTAGTAATTTAAAGCCACACAATGCGCATCCAAACGCTAATTTCTCCAGTACTAGACTAACAAATACTTCGTGGCATGCATAATCACACTACCTTATGACAAAATAAACTCTAGTTCCTCCCATTTCACTGCGCGTTGTCTTATAAAAGGTATTTGAAAATACCTCCAATGTTGTTCAAATTCTCCGATGTTGTCGACAGTTTTGCGTTGCTCTCCCAAGCAACCGTGCAGCGGTGCTGCGGTACAGCGGTACGGGTGTAGCAAAGATAAAAACATGTGACGTCACCTAACCACTTCGAGGCTAAATTGGCAAACAAGTCGGCGTTGGCGCCAGAATGCCAGTTTTCTCACCTCTTTCTTGTTTTAAGCAAACGCGCAGTGAAATGGGAGGAACTAGAGTTTATTTTGGCATAAGGTAGTGTGATTATGCATGCCACGAAGTATTTGCTAGTCTAGTACTGGAGAAATTAGCATTTGGATGCGCATTGTGCGATGCAAAAACATTTCTTCTTGGAAAAACACCTGCGCACTTCATTACCAACTAGCATCACACAATTTTGCACATTACCAGCTCCGTAATGGATTTGTGCGTCGATTGCCCTGAGGACTGGTCTATGTGAACAAGTGGCTGTCTGAAACGGGGGGATTGAACAGTACGTGGAATGTAGAGAATTGAAAGGTGATTTTTTGTTTTGTTTTACAAACGATCATGCTTAGTTTGGCTGTTTAATGTGGAGATAAGTTCAGCTTTACAAACCAGGAGAGCGTGCTACATTTAGGGGAGGGGGGGTTGTTCCTATTGGCACTCATCACCTGGGACGTTGTTCCACTTAGATGGGCTTCTTGTCGTTTCTATGCAGGGAAAATACAAGGAACAAGTGTAGCAACACTGACTGCTATAACGTGAATCTTCTAATTGGTGGAAATTAAATCTAATAGGATCAATGGGCTCAACTGTTTTCCGAGTCGTACAATTCGGGACACGCCTTTTTCAGTAATGCTAGTTTATATGATAAATGACTTTGAAAATCTATGTGTGACCTTGATGGCTCGTTTGATGAATTCCTGCGAAATGTTTTCAAGAGATTAGGTGCAATGTTGGGTTGGATCTGTTGGGTTGGCTGTTGGCTGTTGTTTGGTGGGGTGGCATGTCGGGAATGACACCGGCATACTTACAAATACACAACAACGAAATAGTCGCTAAAACGAGTAGCATTCCCGCCAAACGATGATTCACTGGTTTCCAAAACTTTTTAAAGTCTTCATCCACACTAGGATGCCGGGCAAGAGTGGCTCATCTATAGCCAATATCGATCGCTGTCTGGTTACAAGACGGATAGCCGTAGCTCGACTGGCTGGCCGCCCCAGACGTAGGATGTAAATGTTAAACAGGTCTCGTGTGCATTTGTCTTCCGTGGTCGTAGCTTTAGCGGATACCTTCCACAGTAGCACAGACACCCTACCCCCATTCGTGCAGAACACCACAACACGTGAGTGTATATATAGTAATGTACAAAACTTGGCAGCTCTCTAGCTTTTCCACTTGAACATGGTAACAGTATAGAGGGTAGAGTGGAGTGTAGTGTGTCTGTGCTAAAGCCAGTAAATGGCACTGTGATTTGGCAGTGTGCTTTTAAGCTTAAATTGTACAGAGGCTGTGTGAGAAATCAAAAGGTTATGCTGTCGTGTTTAATTTCTGGTCCAGCTTAACATATCTCCTATACCTGGATAGGAAATATTCCATGGAGTCTAAGCGATGTTTTGATTATGTTGTACAGGTTTACTTCCTGGTTATTGTAAAAATAAATACTGTGTTTATTTTACATCAGTGTAGCAGTCTTGTAGTTGCTGTAGTGAAACCTTGAGATATATCGTATTAGTAAAAATGTAAAAATATGGTTATTAACGTTACTCCAGCTGTTTGAATAAATCTATTACTATATATATATTCATAATATAGGCAATACTGATTTTAGTTACCAAAATGCCAATCAAACACTACTGACAACAAGTTCAATGTTTGTAGTTCACTTTTAATATACTCTGAAAATGGATCAAAACAGTTTGAAGTATCATTCATGAAATTATGTGTGCAACAACTGCAATTGCAACATCGAAAAACGTGTACGTTATATCAGGAGTAAATAAAAAAGGCATCGCCTTTTACTCACTCCCGACTATATCATGCCACAATCAAACATGATTATCTCTTAAGCGTAAATAAATTTCACAAGGTTGACATTCCTGTCTCACGTCCCGTAACAGCTGGCAGGTGAGCAATAATACGCGACTACGCAATTATCAAGACACAAAAACCTGCCGAGACATGCACATCACCTGCAAATGTGGTGGGTGGGTGTATCATGTGCAATTAAAGGAATCTTCCCACACAATCCAAGCCACGTACGACAATTGCAGCACTGATTTCTTTTTTGCAAATTAACATCTATCTAAACACAACTGCCATGCTATGCCTGTGATACAGTGATATACAAGAAAATGAACGCGGTGCACTAACGACTACTAAATACACTAATTTACGATGAGCAAAGTATGATTAAGTGTTCACTAATCAAGGCTTGTTATATTACGTAAACCAAGACGCGAAACACGTAACAAGACACGCAATGAAAGGCATAATTATTGCAGGAAATGTGTAGTACTAGTAGCTGGGTGGTATGGCGTTGCATTATGCATTATGGCAATTCGCAAAACAAGCATGCTTCAGACTACGTGGGAAGAAATCTTCAATGGAAACGACAAAAATACATCACAGTACTGAATATTTACATCTCCCAAATGAAAGTTGGCCCATCTCAGAAGCTTGCAATTGCTTAAATCTCGTCATCAAAATGCACGTTCTTGGTCACTTGGTGTCTATTTATTACAGTAATTATACTCATTAAATCATTTAAATTAACATGTAAATTGAAAATATTAACTAGTGTTGTTTCCTTGCGTTTATCTGCCTAAATGAATATCAGTAATGCACACAGTATTGCAAGTAATACGTATCAGTATAAGTACACGCAACTAAAAGTAATGCGTGTCATCCTGGCATATAACATTCGCAATATTGACTAGTTTTGGAATGCAAACACAGGAGATTCATTGAAAAGCACGCACGTTATGACTTATTGCAAAACAGTGTGTGTTGTTGAGAAAATTACAAGCTCGAATCAAAATGATAATAAGATTGTAGATTTTGCTGGTGAAATATACAATGAAGACAGGAGCTTTCGAGATGGACCAATTCTCCACGATGTTAGGAGTTGTACATTTTCAGTAGTGATAGATTTTCGATGACACTAAAGATGCAACAATGATATCCAATCTCTTATTCACTCACCGTGTCTGGTGGACCTGGCAACCTCCGCTGCCTCACCTTTCTAACAGAAGCTTCGTTGTATACAACACTGACGGCCGATGAAAAGTCAGGACTATGTAAACGCAACGTGCTTCCATTTTTCACGAACGCTCTGACGACATTCAACGCACGAATGACCCGGTCCCGCTTGCACGTTCAGCCACCAGCGGCTACCTGAGAATATCCAGTTTCGCAAACCGATACTGTAACGACGCCGGGTTTCTAACGAGCACCACCAGAGGGGGCGAGCGCTGCTGCGCCCTCGCCGCCTCGACGAGGCCGGCAACGCTGCAGAATCCAACGGCGCATCCGCCGCCGACCGTGAACGAGAAGTTACCAGCGATAACGAACCCCATCGCGTCGCGGCAGCAGTGACCGACGACGCCCGCCACGTCACCGAACATCTCCCGCCGTGATGCCGCCACCCTCGCCCCGCCGTCCGCCGCCCCGCCGCCACATCGCTTCGCTGCCTCGCCGGTGGACGCCGCCGCCATCTTGGCCTTCTTCCGCGCGATCTTCTTATGCTCGGCGAGAAGAGCTTTGAGCTTCGGCGTTGACACATCCTTGTGTCGCTGTTCCAGCGGGCCGCCGTACTGTTTGTCCTTGAGCAGTCGTTCAAGGTCGTCCGGGGAAGGAAGGCAGATCGTGGCGAACCTACGGTCGCGCGAACACACGAGAACGTCGTGCGTGATTCACGGGTTTAGTTCGCGAACATGCAAGGATTTACGATGGCTGATCTACTCGAATTTGAATTTTACGACTTCTTTAGAGAGATGGCTCCATGCTCCATACTTCATGCATTATTACGGCATCAAATCTCTAGAATTTGTTAGATTTCACTAGGTAACGATATGAAATTTATTGGAAACTTACATCGCATGCTCATTTTGTAAGAATTATGAGCTTGTGAGATATATAACATGTTTAACAAAGCCATCACGTAATCAGCATGCTCTAAATGCACGAGTATGACCAGCTACAGGTACTCACATTAAACATGCATTAGATGCTATTAGCAATGCTGCACACTCTCACCTGTTAGGGGTGCCACGCTGTAACATCTTCAGACGCACAGCAACGATTGCACTCACGTGGTGCTGCAATACGGCGTCCATTTTATCAATGCTCCTCTGCTGAGACTCATTATCCTGAAACCACAAGTGGTGTGATAATTTTTTATCAGTGTTGAGCAGACATATATGCCGAACTGGCATCATGTTAGTTTCCCGCATTAAACTGCTTTATATTTGCACAACATATAAATGACATGGAAGCCATATAATTATCTTTAAAATTATGTCATTCTATCATTTTTCATCACTCACGTAGAACTCATTGAAACTATTTATATGAAAAAAATGCATTTAGCCATTCATTTGTTATGCAGCTAATTGTTATGAGATTATAAACAGCATGCCTGCACCACAACAGTAAATATCTGTGTACCACATACCAGCGTAGGTGAGGTCTTTAAACGCTTGTCTAGCTGGCTTAATGTCTGCAAATCACGCTGAGATCGCAAAACGTAAAACCCTGAAATGGAAAACAACAATATGGAATATTTTAAAACACTCTCGTGGTCATTTTCAATCGCTCTCTCTCTCTCTCTCTCTCTCTCTCTCTCTCTCTCTCTCTCTCTCTTCTCTCTCTCTCTCTTCTCTCTCTCTCTCTCTCTCTCTCTCTCTCTCTTCTCTCTCTTCTCGTTTCTCTCTCTCTCACTCATTCTCTCTCTCTCACTCATTCTCTCTCTCTCTCTCACTCATTCTCCTCTCACTTCTTTCTCTCTCTCACTCTTTCTCTCTCTCTGTGTTTCTCTTTTCTCTCCATCATATGATTACAACATGGTGACTAACACTTACCGGATCATGACGTGTTTTGTCCGTTGTTGCTTGATCATTCTCCAGCGCCACTGCCTCTGTACCCATGGCTGTTGCTACTCTCTTTCCCCACTCTGCCACGAGGGTGCTTCAAGGGCAGCTGAACGTGTGATACGATCCATACTTGATATAGCTTCGGCCTTTTATCCGGTGGACGTCGGAAATATTCCATTTCAAGTTTTTCTCGTACCTTTGTCTGTATCGAACAGGGTAGTATATATCACACTTGCATGGCTAGCTGTCCGTTTATCTGCTTGTAATACTTTGTACTGTGTTCACCTTCAATCTCTTCCTCTAGCTTGTCCTTCCATGCCTGCATTTTACCCGCGCTCACTCTCTCTCTCTTCTCTTCTCCTCCTCCCTCCCTCCCTCCCTCCCTCCCTCCCTCCCTCCCTCTCTCTCTCTCTCTCGCTCTCTCTCTCTCTCTCTCTCTCGTGCATACACTACCTGTTCCAGCTTTCTATCATTTGTTCAAGCTCTTACGTACTCTTCCCTCCTGCCTCTGTCTCTTTCTCTCTCTCTCTCTTTCGCTCACCCCTTTCTTTCTTTCTTTCTCACTCTTGCTCTATCTCTCTCTCTCTCTCTCTCCTCTCTCTTTCGCTCACCCCTTCCTTTCTTTCTCTCTCTTGCTCTCTCTCTCTCTCTCTCTCTCTCCCCTCTCTCTTTCGCTCACCCCTTTCTTTCTTTCTCTCTCTCTCTCTCTCTCTCTCTCTCTCTCTCTCTCTCCTCTTCTTCTCTCTCTCTCTCTCTCACTCTCTCTCTCTCTCTCTCTCTCCCCTCTCTCTTTCGCTCACCCCTTTCTTTCTCTCTCTCTTGCTCTTTCTCTCTCTCTCTCCCCTCTCTCTGCCTGTCTCTCCCTATGTCTCTCTCGGTCATACCATTATTTCCATCACCTACGTTCACGCACCAACCTCGCTTCCGCTCCACCGCCTCACCTGATGTATTCTCGCAGCCTCCGTGTCGGGGTAGCCATCAGGGAAGCTCGGCACGCCCCTCTCCCAGCAGCAAGCCGTGCACTCCCTCAAGCCAGCCGCCCGCGCGCCCCTGTACACCAGCCCCACCCAGAAGGCCATGCTCCATCCGCACGGCAGGACCACGTCCCAGCCGCTGCCGTAGCCAAGTGTCGTAGGTTGCCGCGCGTCGCCGTGGCCCGGGTTCTGGACGAGCAGGATCGGGACCCGGGACTCCTCCCGTCCCAGCTGCAGCGGTGTGCCTGCAACGCGAAAGCCTCGAGAGATGGCATTGCACAGACTACGATCATACACGCAACGTCGTCTCGTGGGGGAAGATGTCCTGTACATGACGCTGTCTCATGTGTGACAATGTCCTGTACATGATCCTGTCTCGTGTGTGACAATGTCCTGTACATGACGCTGTCTCATGTGTGACAATGTCCTGTACATGACGCTGTCTCATGTGTGACAATGTCCTGTACATGACGCTGTCTCATGTGTGTCTGTTGTTGTCTATGTCTGATGATTTCACACGTGCAATGTTGTAAACTTGTGATCATATAATATAGGTGCATCTACAAGAGGCGATATCGTCCTATGTTTACATGTTATGCTATCTACATATGATGATTTCCTGCGATGTTGTCTACACGTGGGGATGTTATAATATATACGTGGTATGATGTTCTACGTATGGCAATAACATAAAACCGATTCAATACTAGCAAGGAAATAAATAAATTACCGAGAAACAAATCGAGACATTTAGCGCAGGTATTATATTTACCGGGAACAATATTTTGAGATCGAAGTCTGTTCATCTCCTGCTCCGTGAGTTTTGTCGTAGTCACCTCTTTACGGATCCCTTCATCCCACAGTGGAGAAGCCGATATGCCCTCTGGTAGCCGAGTTGCAACATCCACCTGCTGCACTGCTACCTCTGTGCAGCAAAATACAAGTTTATCCCACACTGTCCACGTACAATGCCTTACAAGCAGGATCAAATATATTCGATAGTGGCTAATATTTAAACTATGTTACACTCTGCCTGGCCCACTAGGATGAGGAACTTACCAGTAACTTCGTTCATGACTTTGGTTCGTTTCTTGGGTAGAAAGATGCGTGGATCTCTGACTGTAAGTCCTATAAAACACCATGTAAGCGCTTAATACCAACCATCATCACAAAATAATGCACCTGTCGCAGCAGTCACAGAATTTCTTATTATATCTAAACCATAAACTTGTTTAAATTACTACCTCATTCGTGTAACATCAGAGTAGAAGCTTTTGTAAGATAAACTGTGAGAATTATAATGTTAGAAACATACCTAGCACACAGTGAGGTGGCAGTTCAGCTGGTGACTGGACTGCCTTCAATGCTCTCCATGCCTCAGCCTGACTTCTCTGTTGCTCAGCTTTCTGCTGGTGAGTGTAGTATACCTCCCACCACTTAGGTATCGTCGCAGCATCCACAACAGCTGGCCGATCAATTTCTAACACGAAACACAAGTGATTCATTTTGTCAGAACTATAGCTTGCAGTATTTTACAATTCAACGCATTGTAAAATAACATAAAATTGGAAAGTTATACTTTTATAATTTTCTAGCGACACACATGAACATATCTATAGATACACCATCATACACACGTCATCATACACAGTATCTTGTACAGATATATTCATAATTACGTATTACATATTGCTATTTATGAATGCATTAGGAATTCCTAGATTTGCTTTCTACCTTCTAGAGCTGCTTTGTCCTCTGGACCACTGACCACAGGTGTCGCCACTGTGCTCTCTTCTTCACAGTGTTCACTACTGCCAACAGGTAGCAGCACTTTTGCTGCAAGCGTCGCCACCGACCGCACCAATTTACACAAAGCTGGACTGTCACTTTGACACTGTTCAATTGAGCTGTACTGCTGTTCGGTGCTGCCATCTGGCGGCGTGCCCGGGGATACAGTGCCACCGCCATCTTCTTCACCATCTTTCCCTTCTTCGCATTTCGGAATTGAGCTCGAGTTGCCGTCACCGACTGTAGATGGCGCCATCTCTGCTTCGCTTTCCGCGGCGACGGCCGCAGCTGCGACATTGCCGCCAGAGGGCGCCGCCGCGGCGACGACGACGTCGGCGGGCTGGAGCAAGTCGCACAGCACGGCCTGCGAGAGCGGACCGGTCAGCCGGAACCTGACGAGTTTGTCCTTGAGCGAGACCAAGGTCACGCGTCCGTTCGTGTACGTCGCGGCGACGGCCGGCGCCACCTCGAACGGCTTTCTCTTCGTCGTCGTCGCCGCCGCCGCCTCCCCGGCTTTCTTCCTCTTCGCCGGTCGCTTCTTCTTCGCGACGTTTTTCCGCGCTTTCGCGTCGGTCGCGAGCGAGTTTACGACTTCGGCTTTGCTCGGCTCTCGTCCCTGATCCGCGGCGGTGGAGCCAGCGATGCCTGGGCTGCACTGATCCTCACTGTGACTGGGCATGGCTTCCTGATCGCGTGGTTTCTCACCGTGACTGTCTGCAGATACGTCTGCCGCTGCCTTCGGGTCCGACTCCTGACTGGATGGCGAATCGGTGAAGGTCGGCGAGTCGCTCATGTGGAAGGCAGTGAGAAGGGCGGTGAGAACAGCCTTTGAGCAGGAGGCGTGGACCCAGATCCACAACCTCCGACGCTCGCCTACCGAAAACAACACCATAGTATCTTTTATTTTTTATTTTTTACACAATAATCCTCCAAATACGTGCGTGAAATACGTGGAAGCAGATTAATATTACCACTAAACAACATTCTAACAAAAAATTGTATTCTAACTGATTCATAGCCTATATACATCCAATGATGTGACGAATAAAATGGGCCTTTTTGTCTACTCTTACTTGAAGTCGTGCCGAACACTGGCTCCCAAATGAAGTCAGCTTGCCCAAGAGCATTGTGTGGGTATTGGCTTGGTCCATATAACACAGTGCTTCCTTGCCTTGTTCCACTGATGTATGCTTTTGCAGCAACAGATAGACCTACAGTCCATAGAAACCAAAAGTCAAGCTTAGGCTGTGATATAAGTATGTCTGTAGAAAATGAAGATGGGCAGATGAATTTTGAGGTTAGTTTGCCAGCAAACAAGGCAGTGCGTGACAGAGTACGTACCTGTATCAGTGCTGGTCACATCCCGCATGCCCGTAATGATTTCCTGCTCAGACCCTCGCAGCTCCAAACAGCAGAGGTAAGAAACATCCTACAGAAACCAGACAATAGCTTTGGAATCACATTTTGTGCTGATCAGTTAACAAATGGTGTAAAAGCAATCAAATAATATCTAATAAACAATGGAACATGCGCAACCACCCTGTCCATCATAAACATTTTTCTTTCAATACTGGAGAATATGTGTGGTGTATTAGTATTACACATGATATTTACCCCCATCTTTGCTCAAAATGCAATACTATACAATTGAACATCTCCAGTACAGAAACAGCTATACTGTAACCACCTGTAGAAGGCAATGCCGGGCGCTGGCGCGGTACGATGCGCGTATGCTCTTATCACAGGGATGCAGCGGGATCTTGTAGCCCCACAAGTCGGCCATCTTGAAGCGTTTAGCATGCCATATATGTGTCTCCAGCCACACGTTGCGGCGTTGCCGACGCGTGTACTCCTCCAGCAGGTTGCTAGGACGACGCCGATGCTTCCTACTCGGCCGTTTTCCCGGACCGACGGGTGCAACTTTCGAAAACTGTCGAGGAAATATTACAGATAATGTTATAAAACGTAATAAATAATATAAGAGATAATGTAACAGATAATGCAATAATAATATTACAGCGATTTTTACAGATGTAGCCACAGATAGCCAGATGCAATCCATGCATGTTAGGTTTGGATACCAGTAATCAGGGCAACATTTGGCAACACTCAGCATATCCCTCGTGGGTTTTACATAACCTGCATGTCTCAATCACTCATGCCTTTTACTCACTCGTTCTCACACCACATGAACCTTCCCCCCACCAAGTGACCCTCTTTGATCTGTCCTACATATTAACGTTTTGGCTAATCTCCGTTTAACTGTTTAACAAGCCCACGTTCCCCACGGCAGGTCCTTATAACTGGAGTCTATCTCTCTCCCGTCGCGCTACCCAACGCCTTACCTGTCCTGTCTGGGAGGCCTGTAGTCGCCGCGGCAGACGTTTCACGTTGTAACTCATCGTGCGACGGCGCATGTGACGCGGGATCGTCTGGAACACAGGTTTTCCGAATGGCGTGTCTGCCATCATGAGCTCCACAGTGAGCGTCTCGATCTCGCGCGCTCGCTTCTGCGCAAACTGAGACACCAGCACATCTATGGCGAGACAGACAGAGAGCGAAGAAATGATGAAATGTGTGAGGAAGACCTGCACGCCAGTTCGTGTGTCACGTGTTGACGTGTGCATTGCTCGTGACGTCAGGCGTGTCAGTCACCGTTAAATCACAAACTATGAATTGACTGTTATAGAGCAGAAAAATTATGATAAATCGTAAATTTGTATCGTTTTATTATTAAACAATTTCATCTGACAATTTAATATGCATCAAACAAGCTCGCAGTAGTTATTCCTGAATGATAAAGCATCACTGCACTGATAAATAGTGTGCAGTCATTACCCGACGGCAGATTAGCTCCTGTAGGTTTCTTTAGAGGTGAAGATTCCCTGACTGATTGCATCACACCATGTCGACCTGAGACTGAGCCGGAGTCTTTACCAGTCGCCGACGGCAACTGCTTCATCGACTCTTCGGTTAAACCTGGATCAGCAGTTTGTTTTTCAGGTTGGACTTGAACCTGATTGCAATCTTTGACGTCTACACTCTTTGCGGTTTCCCGCATGGCGCTAGCGTGCGTCGTCATCTGCGCTGCGTGACAGGCAGACGTCGTGAAGGTTGCCGCGGACGATGCCCGAGTCGCCGCAACGTGATGCATTGCAGCGATCTGTTGGTGAGCTCTCGCGATGGCAGCCTTGTGCTGTGCTGCCATCTGTTGCTGGGCCATCGAGAACGCCGCCTGCTGCTGCGTGGCAAGCTTCTGTTGAGCGAGATTCAGCGCCGCCTGCTGCGCCATCTGGTGTTTCGCGGACGCGGACGCCGCCGCCGCGCGTTGCCGCGCCTGAGACACGGCCACCTGCTGGTGCTGCTGCTGCGCCGCCGCCAGCTGCTGCGCCTGCGACGCTGCTGCCATCTGCTGGTAGTAGTAATACTGCTGCTCGGCGACTGCCTGGGGCACGGATCTCTGGATCGGAGACGGGACGATGTATTGCATGGGCTGCGGCATTGCCATCACGCCCGGAGGTTGCCCGGGTAACATGTACTGAATCGGCTGTTGCATCATCGCCTCTGGCGGCAACAGCCCCGGTTGCAAATACGGATATGGTACTGCTGGCGGAAATGCTGCGGCAGGAACTGCAAGTGTAATACATTTCCAGTTTGAATTTGTTAAAAAAAATTAATATGCGCACGGATGCACACATCATGTCACATGCAAACACACTCTGTCACCAGGGTGCGAAATTAACGGGAGTCCAGAATCAAATACTCCCTGATTTACTGGCGGACTCCCTGATTTGACATATGCAGGAGTCCGTGTGACTCCCAGAAAATTCTGCCATACTAACTAGTTTGTTCCGGAGCACGGCCTTTCGAAATTAATGTATTTGTTCAGCTAATGTCCAAAGAAAATTTGGCAGACGTGCAACTGCATGAATCTTAAAAATAAGCACATGCACTATTGTTAATATCTTTAATTTTGAATCTTAGACTGCGGACTCCCTCATTTTGCTGCGGACTCCCCCTTTTGGAGGGTAGTGAGTCCGTTGGACTCCCTTGTTCAAAAATTAATTTCTACCCCTGTAACACTCATATAAAGATTTATATAAATAAAATTGTAATTAAACAGCTATAATTGGGGGTATACATTTCGAGGCATTTAGGTATTTTTAAAGGGTTTGCATTATCGTAGACTAAGTCTTAGAAGTAAGTAAGGTTGAGAGGGTCTATGTCCACCAGGGTACTATCGGAGGGTACCCTGGGTACGGTTCGATATATTGGAACGTAGGGTACCCTGGTACTATCTAATATGCCGGACTGTAACTCGCCTACTCCACTAACGAGTCTAGGGAGTCGCCTACGCCTACTCCCTAACCCTAACCATATCAGATAGTTACCAGGGTACGTTCCGATATATCGAACCGTACCCAGAGTACCCTCCGATAATACCCTGGCCCTGGGGGACATAGACCCTATGACTATGAGTATGAGTATGAGCGTAAGTAAGGCTCATAGGGTCTATGTCCCCCAGGGTACTGCCGGAACGTACCCTGGTCACTATTTGATATGGTTAGGGTTAGGATTAGGGTTAGGGTTAAGGTTCGGGTTAGGGAGTAGGCGTAGGCGACTCCCTAGCCTAGACTCGTTAGTGGAGTAGGAGAGGTACGGTCCGGCATATAATATCACAGGCACTTGAAGCGTATCAACTGTAAACACACGCCGCCGCCATTGCGCGTACACTTACACATAAATAAGTACATAAACATAATAATTAATATGTGTAAGTGTACGCGCAATGGCGGCGGCGTGTGTTTACAGTTGATACGCTTCAAGTGCCTGTGTATAATATAGTACCAGGGTACGTTCCGGCAGTACCCCGGGGGACATAGACCCTATGATATCAGTACCACTACTAGATACAATAATGTAACCCAAACCCAAGAGGATAGGGTTACAACGCGAGCCTATACCTTTTTGCGGAGGAATGCCCGAGTGAATCACTCGGGCAGGTTTGCTGGTGTATTTTCAGAGACTAGAACTTCTGTGACGTTACTTCGGTTTGAAGAGCGGATTCACCGACCAAGGGAGTAAAATTTGATGCGGGCGCTGACGAGAACCATGACATCAACTTTCATCGGCCTAATGTAGTCCGTTTGTTGTAAATACAATAATGTGACCCCACAAAAGTAAGGTTACAAAGCGTCCCTATCCTTTTGTGTGGAGGAACCCCTTAGTTAATCACCCAGGGCGGTTTGCTGGTGCGTTTTCAGAGACTAGAACTTCCAAACTGGGTTTATTCTCAACACGAACCTTTCTCCGTTATCTTGGAACTTACTATGTATCACAATAATCTGTATTAAACTAATATAACCTGTTACAAAAATTCGAAGTGACGAGCGGCGAATATACTGAGCGCCATTTCTGTTGACCTGTGATGTACGCATTCCCAATGTGCATAGCGATCGGCAAACGCAGCGCCCTCCGACAGTTTGTGTAAGGCCGATGAAAGTTGATTTCATGGTTCTCGTCAGGCATTGTTGAGATTTTGATGAGGGATTTAGATCAACATTCATCTTTCATATACAAACCAATAGAACTTAGTGAATGTATCATTATCAAGTCTTGTACATATGCAAAATAAGATTGAAAAATGTCATAACTTCTTTGTTGACAGTTTTTACTCAAATTTTTACTGTTTGTCTTCCATATAGTGCTGACTGTAGATTGTTGATTTTTTGAGGCGGGAATTTCATATGGCGACTTTTTGATGCGGGAATTTCGTCAGCGATGAGTGTTGAACTTTTTTGGTGCTTTTAGTGTTTATTTGCCACGACTTTAATTATTGAAACGGCCAAACTTTCTGTGCTTTGTGCTCTTACTTACAAGTTTGACTCGTAACGGGCCAGATTCAAACCAATGTTCATACGCATCGATCGTATTCATCAAATACACAAGGTGAAGGTATATAAACACCTAAAATTTACAAGGACAACCATCTTCCATTGATGTTGTAGATGGCAACTTACGCCGCAAACATGTAAGCTGTGTAATAGAGGCTAAAGATGATACCCGGGGGTACCCGTCTTACACCCTCGTACTGAAGCAAGCACATGACTTATTGATAAAGATTATCAAAATTAAAAACGTTTTAATTGAATTTTAAATATTACTTAAAAAATTACAATATATCAAAGAAAGTGTGTAAATGTAAAATGTGCACGATTGGAAAGCAAATAGCGCGAAGACTCATTAAATAAACTTTTTCGGCCTCTCACTCCCACAAGCTGCACGCGTGATCTTTTTTCCTATGTCACTCAAGAACATAGGGCTTTAGCGAGCGCTGCCATTGGTTGATACAAATCACGTGCCTCAAACTCCTGTTTTATGGTCAAACTCCACGACAGATGGCGCTCTCGCTCATAGGCTCAATCTATGGATTTCGGTTACAATTTGTAACGCTTTTTTACTACAAGTTTTACAGCAGGCACGTTACTCGTATCCTATGTACTAAGATTTGGACTATTAAAAGTTGCAGATATTAAAAATCCGACCATTATTTTATGAGATAAAATAGTG